AGAGTCATTTATGTGTCAAAATAAGGTTCTCTAATTGCTTATTCTCGTGAGCTTCAGGGGCTTTACCCCCACCTAACACTGTCCTTGACCCTCTGGGGATATAAGTTGTCCCAAGACCCCTCCCTTGCTAAAAAAGCCTCTCTTACTAATGGAAAATCCTGCATTTGTGCCTGTAAAAGTCAATTATTTTAATGAAAACTCAGATAATGATAAGTAATACATGTAATGTGGATTGTAACAGCTGTGAAAAACATCTTTTAAATTCAAGTAATCATATTTTCTTCATAATACTTTGTACACATTTAATGTCTGCTGCTGGTTACCGTACATGCAAATATCTAATTTATTGTAAATATTAAAAATATTTTGGTGCAAAGCTAATTAATTAATATGGTATTAGATATAGATGGGATATGGAATTTCCAGAATATTAAACCTTACCCCTCAACAAAGAAACTAATTATATATTGAAAGCACAATGTCTGCAAAATGTTTCAGGTTTAGAAATAAATTTGATAACAATAATACATGAATTAATTAGAATATGAATCTTTAATTCTTTAAAATATGAGAGTCATTATGATCTAGTTTTGAGTTTACCAGGCTTTATCACATTTTTGTTATATACCTTTAAAAATTATTTACTATATAAATTCATCCTGAAAAAGTCTAACATTTTCAATGTTTTACTGAGCAGTACTGTCGAAAATCGATGTTTGACCCCAGAGTGAGATATTGGACCTATCGATTAGATATTCGACTGATATGTCAGATAACTCTTATTTGCATTAATTCGTTGGTGTTTGACAGAGATGAAATAGACCAAGTTAAACTGCAGTGCGTGTAAAGGAAAGTTACATCATAGAAGCCAGAATAAGTAACATGTATGTTAATGAAATAAAGGGTATAACAAAACATTATAATTATTGACTGTGTTCTCAGGCAGAATGCATTTCGTCAACCCTCAAACCAAACTGTCTGCCTTCAGCCTAATGACCTAGCTCAGGCAAACAGCTTGGTTCGAGAGTTGACAAAATGCATTTTGCCTGAGAACACAATCATGACTCAATAAATGTATAATGTTCACTGCATTATGATGTCTCTCTGATGAATATCATGTGGACAAGTGGGCATAGTCTGGAGTAAGCTTTAGCTTAGCAACTAAAATATTACTAAATAATTCTTCATTTATTTATTTAATTTTTGAGAGAGAGAGAAAGACCAGTGCTTATTTGTGTGTTCACCAGCTGATCACTTGACAGAGATGTTAACCTTGGCCACTTCTTGCAATTTTTAATGTAACACTCATTTTGTATTCATTTAAGCATTTTTTTACACTGTTATTCATATTACATGCAATCAACTGAGAAATTGCGTTTACCAGTATAACTGTGTGTATCAGCTGTTGCAAAAATTAAAACAGACTATAACATTTTCTGCACATTGAATCAGTTTTCCCTTTTTCAATACTGTGGTAAAATATTTCACAACACCAAGAACATTATCAATTATTTTAGTATAATATTTTAAAAAAAATTGAAAAGCCTTATATATTTTTATAGCTCAAAAACATTTTTCTTCTTCCACCACGTGGAGGCATGTAAACAAAGGACGATAACTCTAAATGTATCTGATTTAACGTTTCTCACTTCAAGTGTCTGAGGCAATAGAATGCGAGAAATAAAGACTAAATGAATCAATTTTTATGTGCAAAAGAATGTTGAAGTGATGAAAGATAAATAAAATGAGCTTTACTTACGTTAAACGCATAAATCCAAAACCACACATCCAGTTCCTGTCTAAATCTTACAGGAACTGATGCAGATCTCGTTCAGTCTCAAGGCTGGTCTCGTTAGAGGTCAAATCGCGCCCTCGGATGTTATGCTACACTTAACAACGATAAAGAATATCATCCGAACACATTGGTAGGGGTGACTTTTATACTTTCCCACCGTTCTAGGCTTTTTCCACCAAACCCCAGCCCTGATATCGCTTTATCACAGTACATACTGTACTAGGGTTTAGTCCCAAAGTCTTTGCAAGTTCTGATTGTTTTATCAAACAATGAAAACTAGTTATAATATACAACGTCATTTTAACCAAATCATGTGTCCTTTTTTTAATGTTTAATCATGCATACAGAAACTATTTAAAGGACAAAAAATAGAGTTGGAAATTTTAAGAACTGCCATGGGGACTCCATTTTGTTTATAATATAATGATCCACCGCTTTAACCTAAGAAATTAAAAACAAAAATAGAATTCTAAAAAGGATTAAAGAAATCGAAAATCTTAACATTTTTCAACCATCTCCGCTTACGAAGTGTTTCTGATCCGCTACACTTCTCATAAGCCCTTGGCTATGGTGCTGCCAAGTCGGAACTGTTTACAAATCTTACCAAGTATGGACAGATTGCGTCATAACAGAAATAAAAAGCATATTAAAAACAAGAGGCCCATGGGCCACATCGCTCACCTGAGTAACTTTGGCCATGCTGTTCATTACCAGACTCCCCCCTTGTAATACCTATTGTGGCCCCACCCTCCCCCCAGGGGCCATGATTTGAACAATTTAGAATCTACACTACCCCAGGATGCTTCCACATAAGTTTCAGTTTTTCTGGTCCAGTGGTTCTTGAGAAGATTTTTAAAGATTTTTCCTATATATTTCAATGTAAAACTTCGGATTCCCCCTATTGTGGCCCCACCCTATCCCCTGGGTCATGATTTGAACAATTTAGAGTGTACACTACTTGAGGATGCTTCCACATAAGTTTCACCTTTTCTGGCCCAGTGGTTCTTGAGAAGAAGATTTTTAATGATTTTTCCTATATATTTCAATGTAAAACTTGTATTTCCTATTGTGGCCCCGCCCTACCCCCGGGGGTCATGATTTGAACAATTTAGAATCTACACTACCCCAGGATGCTTCCACATAAGTTTCAGCTTTTCTGGCCCAGTGGTTCTTGAGAAGAAGATTTTTAAAAAATTTTCCTATATATTTCAATGTAAAACTTGGATTCCCTATTGTGGCCCCGCCCTACCCCCGGGGGTCATGATTTGAACAATTTAAAATCTACACTATCCCAGGATGCTTCCACATAAGTTTCAGCTTTTCTGGTCCAGTGGTCCTTGAGAAGAAGATTTTTAAAGATTTTTCCTATATATTTCAATGTAAAACTTGGATTCCCTATTGTGGCCCCGCCCTACCCCCGGGGGTCATGATTTGAACAATTTAGAATCAACACTACCCCAGGATGCTTCCACATAAGTTTCAGCTTTTCTGGTCCAGTGGTTCTTGAGAAAAAGAATTTTCCTATATATTTCAATGTAAAACTTGGATTCCCTATTGTGGCCCCGCCCTACCCCCGGGGGTCATGATTTGAACAATTTAGAATCTACACTACCCCAGGATGCTTCCACATAAGTTTCAGCTTTTCTGGTCCAGTGGTTCTTGAGAAGAAGATTTTTCAAGATTTTTCCTATATATTTCAATGTAAAACTTGGATTCCCTATTGTGGCTCCGCCCTACCCCCGAGGGTCATGATTTTTACAATTTAGAATCTACACTACCCCAGGATGCTTCCACATAAGTTTCAGCTTTTCTGGCCCAGTGGTTCTTGAGAAGAAGATTTTTAAAGATTTTTCCTATATATTTCAATGTAAAACTTGGATTCCCTATTGTGGCCCCGCCCTACCCCCGGGGGTCATGATTTTTACAATTTAGAATCTACACTATCCCAGGATGCTTCCACATAAGTTTCAGCTTTTCTGGTCCAGTGGTCCTTGAGAAGAAGATTTTTCAAGATTTTTCCTATATATTTCAATGTAAAACTTGGATTCCCTATTGTGGCCCCGCCCTACCCCCGGGGGTCATGATTTTTACAATTTAGAATCTACACTATCCCAGGATGCTTCCACATAAGTTTCAGCTTTTCTGGCCCAGTGGTTCTTGAGAAGAAAATTTTTAAAGATTTTTCCTATATATTTCTATATAAAACATTGATTCCACATTGTGGCCCCGCCCTACCCCCGGGGGTCATGATTTGAACAATTTAGAATCTACACTACCCCAGGATGCTTCCATATAAGTTTCAGCTTTACTGGCCCTGTGGTTCTTGAGAAGAAGATTTTTTAATGACCCCACCCTATTTTTGTCTTCTCTTGATTATCTCCCCTTGTGAGGGGACTTGGCCCTTCATTTTAACAATTTAAATTCCCCTTCACCCAAGGATGCTTTGTACCAAGTTTGGTCAAAATGGCCCAGTGGTTCTTGAGAAGAAGTCAAAAATGTGAAAAGTTTACAGACGGACAGACGGACGACGGACAAAATGTGATCAGAAAAGCTCACTTGAGCCTTCGGCTCAGGTGAGCTAAAAAGTATTTAAAGAATAATTAAAAAGCCGTGTTTAATTGTTATACAGTGTGCAAATCTAAATCTGCAATACACTGTTTAACGGTGTTTTTTTTTTTTTTTTACGTTTCGCAATCTTTGCGAAAAATAGAAAACACTTTTATTTTTTTTTTATTTGCGAAGTCAATTTTTGCGATTATTTTAGTGTCTTAAAATTTAGAGTTATCTATGTAATCTATACGGTTATCATTGAACGATACTTGACTGCGAGTTTATGCGAACGTTAACTGCTGGCAAAGAAAGCGGAAATTGGATTATCGCGAGAATTATCCGTTAATATTGAAATTTATATGCACATCTGCTTAATGTGGGATGACGCAATAGATATTTATAGAATGGCACGTTATCTTACAGAAGTTGTTAACTAGTGCTTTTAATTCCCAAGACTTCTTCCGAACGGAGATACTTCATTTACAAAAACATTCGCTGATTGATCGAACAGTATCAATTGACTCCAATCACAACTCAAGAAAAAAAAAATCCCGACTTTTGATAGTACCGTAGGCCAAGGGTCTTGGAGAGGAGTAGTGTATCAGAAACTTTTGTCTTGCCAAGATGTTAATTAACTGTTTTTAAAATTCTGAAGGCAATACAAAGGCGAACAACAGGAGCTGTTAACTTTAACAGGAATTGGACTGATTACAAAGTTGGGTTTGGAATCACAGAAGATTATTGGATTGGTAAGATTGCAAAATTTGTTAAACGGAATAAGTGTTAAGGTCAGTCAGACGACACGTTCCTCGAATATCTATTTTTGCATTCTTTTGCAATATCCAAAAAAATATTTATAATTATCATTATATTTTAATTTCTAAGACATTTTCAAAATGTCTGAATATAGAGACCAAAATTACTGATATCAGGTGTTCAAATGATCTCTAGTATAGGATTATAGGAAATGCCTATCTCCGGAATCTTGCACAAATGTTTGGTAATGTACCCCAATTTTTATGGGGGAAGTTCTTAAAGTAGCAATATTTCAATTACAAAATATTGGAAAAAGTAATATATATATATATATATATATATATATATATATATATATATATATATATATATATATTTCTCGAGAACTGGTCGTCTGACCTTGCAAAGTCTAGTTAGCTTAGTGAGGAAAAAAACTGATTTCATTGTCCATGGAAATACGCTGTCATTTAAAAATCATATACCTGTAATTAACTGCCTTTCTTTCACAGGAAATGACGCTATTCACCAACTAACAAAAGATCGCCCAGCGCTGTACGTTTCCCTCACATTAAACAATGTAGATAAAAGACACGAGCTTTATAACCAGATCTCTGTATCAGACGAAACCGACAACTACAGACTCTTCCTTTTAGGACCAGCATCAGGGACACTAGGTACGAACACGATGCATACCTTTTTTTGGTTGAAGTTATATTACTATTCTTCTTCAATGTTTTCAACATTAAACATCTTTTTTCACCTCAAGTCATCCAAAATGATAGAAAATTAATTTTGCTAAATTTTTGGATAGATTTATTCATAGTATTTAAAGAGGTATTTTAAGGGGAATCGTATTGATTTTTTTTGTATTTTATTTTTCTTATGTTTAGTGTTCCACAAACAAAGTAAGGGAACACAATTTGTTTTTATTTTGTTCAAATAAAGGTCTTTCGCCTTCTCTGGAAATAAACTTTATACATTTATATGATTATTTTTTTCATTGTAATTATATATAACAGTAATTATTTATAAATGTTCCAAAAAACTATGCAATACTAAATAATTAACTCTCTATATTTCTAAAAGAGGATAAATCTCATGAGCAATTTTGAACAAAAGATGTGTAAGGATGTACAACACACCTAAAATTCCTGTCGTTTAATTTTCGTTAATTATAAATATATATATTATGAAGGACTATATCTACCAGGGGTATGCAGATTTTGAACAAAATCGTTCGAGTCTTACTTGGACAGGAAGTTCCAGAAGTTACCTCCTTTTGGCTGTTCAAGAGGATAAAACATTTTCAATCAACTAACTATAAAATTGATTACACAGATTTGAAGTGAATATTTTCTGTATAATTTCATGACATATATGTTGCTATACAATTTCATACTTGAATCGCTCTTCTGATAAACCTACAACCTATCACTTCTATTTGAAGCCTCTAAGTATCCTGGATATTTAGATAAACCCTTGAAATTCCAATTCACACTCTTGAGAACCCAAGATGATTCTAAGCCAATTAGTACCTGAGAGTTGGTCATGGTGACCTACTTATCACTTGTATTCTCTGAGGATCCATCAACTAAATTTGATGATTCTAAGCCAATTAATACCTAAAATATTTTTTTTAAAATTATAACCATAAATTTTATAAGTAGGTCAATGTGACCTACTTTTCAGTTGTTGTACTCCAAAGACCCAGGATGCATCAACTGACAAAGTTTGATGATTCCAAGCCAAATTAATACCTGAAATATTTAATTGAATCCATAAATTTTCAAAAGTAGGTCACAGTGACCTACTTTTCAGTTGTTCAACTCCAAGGACCCATGATACATCAACTGACAAAGTTTGGTGATTCTAAGCCAATTAATAACTGAATATTTAATTAAAGCCATAAATTTTCAAAAGAAGGTCACAGTGACTTACTTTTCAGTTGTTGTTCTCCGAGGACCAAAGATACATCGACTGACAAAATTTGATGATTTTAAGCCAATTAGTACCTAAAATATTTAATTAAAGCCATAAATTTTCAAATGTAGGTCACAGTGACCTACTATTCAGTCATACCACTACAAGGACCCAAGATGCATCAACTAACAAATTTTGACGATTCTAAGCCAAACAGTTCCCGAAAATATTAAATACAGCCATAAAATTTCAAAAGTAGGTCACCATGACCTACTTTTCAGCTGTCGTACTCCAAGCACCCAAGATGCATCAACTGACAAAGTTTGATGATTCTAAGCAAATAAGTACCAAAAATATTTAATTAAAGCCATAAATTTTCAAAAGTATGTCACGGTGACCTACATTTTAGTCGACCTACTCCGAAGACCCAAGATGAATCAACTGACAAAGTTTGATGATTCTAAGCAAATTAGTACCTGAAATATTTAATTAAAGCCATAAATTTTCAAAAGAAGGTCACTGTGACCTACTTTTCAGTCTACCTACTCCGAAGACCTAAGATGCATCAACTGACAAAATTTGATGATTCTTAGCCAATAGGTACCTGAAATATTTAATTATAGTCATATAAACTGAAAGTTAGGTCACGGTGACTTCTTTTTCAGTTGACCTTTTTTGAGGACCCAAGATGTATCAACTTGTGAAGTTTTATGATCATAGGCCTTAAAATGTCCAAATTATGCTTCTAAAACGCTTTGAAATCGAATGCCTGCAGTTTAAAAAGTAGGTCACTGTGACCTACTTTTTAATAAATATGTTTTACGGCCCCAAGATGCATGATCTTACAAGATTTAATGATTCTAAACCTCTCGGTATTCGAATTAATGACCTTAATTGTTTTGAAAAAGATTAGCCATCAGTTCAAAAAGTAGGTCGAGGTGATCTTCTTTTTAATTGACGTACTTTGAGGACCTAAGATACATCAACTGACAAAGTTTAAATTGTTCAAAATATGCCTCTAAATCATTTTGAAAAAGAATGGCCGCAAAATTTGAAAAGTAGGTCACCATGACCTACTTTGAGTCAGCATGATATGACGTCCTTAGATGCATCAACTGACAAGATTTGATGATCCTAGTCCTTATTGTAACCAAAATATCAACATTTGAATAAAATGTAATTTTTGGTCAACTTTAAAGTGACCTTGAGACCACGCCCTTTGCCCCAGGGTAAATTCCTTGAATTTTAATCTATAACATACCCTCATCCTTTTGTGTAAGATTTTTTAGCAACCAGTAATTTTGTTTCTATTTTCCTAATTATCTCCCCTTGTGTAAGGGTAACAACCCTAGTTTTAGTATAAAAGGGAGCCCTTGGGCCAAAGATACCCTGTGCCAAATTTGACAATAATTGACCAAGGGGTTCTTGAGGTATGGCCCATATTCTAAAAAATTTACGCACGCAGCACAAATGGCCATAGCATTAGCTCTTTGAGCCTTTGGCTCAGAAGAGCTAATAATAAAAATCTTATTTTATCTCGAAGTAATTGAAACTTCGAATTTCTGGACGCGTTTGATCGACACATCCTTGCACTTTCACAAATTTGAATATTATTCTTAATACTTAAGAGAAGTGGCAATTTTGTTGTGTATTAATGAAAAATATTCAAACTATAATCCAGAAAATTCAGAGTAGAAATGTGAAAAAGCAAAACCCACTCACAATATTGTCAGTCCGTGCTCAGTGGTGTGTGCGGAGTTTAGCAATTGAACACACTCGGTGAATCGTAAACATTAACAATAACAGAGCTCGTGCCCTGTTTTAAAAACAGTTTACGTTTCATGGGTGTGTTCAATTCGTTAAAATCGGTACACAACACTGAGCACGGCTGACAGTACTAGTGGGTTTTGCTTTCGAACATTTCTTCTCTGAATTCTCTGAATTATAGATGTAATATTTTTCATTAATACACAACAAAATTGCTTCTTTTCTTAAATATTAAGGATAAAATTAAAATTTGTAAAAGTGCAAGGATGTGATAACCAAACGCGTCCCAAAATTCGTAGTTCCAATGATTTCCAGACAAAATAAGTTTTTTTATTATATTATCGAGTGAAATGCTGTTTCAATATATAAGTCGTGATATTATACAGAAAATTTGAGAAAATATTAAGTTCAAATCTGTGTCTAAGCACCTTTAAAGACGCAAATAAAGTAGTTTTGTAGAACTACATATGGATAAAATATTTTTGAAGTACTTAAACTGAAAACTATGTTTCATCTCTGCCTTAAAAAATGCGTCTTTTTCAAATTTTTGTTATGAAAAAAATCTATCGTTTAATTTTGGAAAAAATACTTTCTTCATGTAGCTCGATGCAAAAAATAATCTTAGTTTTTTTTGTAATTTTTTAAAGACCTGTTTTGAATTTATAGCGAAAAATCATCCCTCCCTTTTCTCCTTAAAGCATGTTTCTCAAGCATCTTTCAGACTTGAGACGAAAACAAAGCTATGAATTTACAAATACCTATATGGAGTTCCAAGTTGGAAAAAAAAGTTTCCTTTAAAAATTATTAACATTATATATAATCAGAGTTAATCAGTGTATTTAAATATGGATATTTAAGCATTTTTATGCCCCGCCATGAATATATCCGGGATATATAGTGTTTGTCATGTCCGTCTTCCGTCCTTCCGTCTCTCCTTCCGACGCGCTTTGTGTGTAGTTCAGCTCAAAGAAACTATCCAAGATATTTTCATTAATCAGCAGATAGATATTGATGAGAGCTATGCAACTGCATCAACATTTTTTGACCTCATTCTTTCCGTTGACCTTGACCTCACTTTTCCTAAATTAGTGTTTAGCTCAGTTTTTCAGTTTTAAAGATAACATTCAAGATAGTGTTATCAAATTTCATATGTTGATACATACTGATGAGAGCTATTCAACTGCATCAACATTTTTTGACCTTTCCTTTGACTTTGACCCCAATCTCTTAAATTAGTTTTTAGCACAGTTTTAAGAACCCATTCAGGAAAGTTTTATCAAAGTTTATATTCTGATACATGTATATACTGATGAGAGCTATTCAACTGCATCAACATTTTTTGACCTTGACATCACTTTCCTTAAATGAGTGTCAAACGTCATATGCTTATACATACTGATGTAAGCAATTCAACTGCATCAACTTCTTTTGACCTTGACCTTTCATTTGACCTTGACCTCACATATCAATTTGTGTTAAACTTAAGTTTGAAAGAAATCATTCATAATATTTTTATCGAACTTAGTATGCTAATACATACTGGTGTAAGCTTTCAAACTGCATCAACATTTTTTGACCTTACCTCTGACCTTGACTTCATTTATTTGAGAATTAGTGTTTAGTTCAGTTTTAAATAAACCATTCAAAATATTGAAATCAAACTAATACACTTGTACGTATATGTGAAAACTATTCAGCTGCATCAAAAATGTTTGACCTTGCACTGTGACCTTGACCTCATTTTTCTTAAATTTGCATTTTCTTAGTTTTAAAGGAACGATTTAAGATATATTTATGTAAGCTTAGGCACTTATGAATAATTTGTGTAAATTTATCATCTATATCCAACATTTTAGATTTCAACTTAAAGAAACTATTCAAGATACTGACATCAAATTTCATACATTAATACAAATTTTCATGTTGCATTACTAATATACCCTCGGCGGGGCATTCAAGTCCTATGTACATATTTCTAGTTTTATTT